ATGTCATTTCATCTAGAATATGAGTCTCTAATTTAGGTTCCATGGATTTGTTAAAGGTAGCGAGAAAATGGCCATCACTTCCTGAAGGCTTACCTTGAACCTGGCCTGTGAGTGAACATGATATAAGTATAGGAGTTTTTTTAACTACTACTAACAAAAGTTGTATTTATAAAAAATTTGTATTTGAAACATTTGTAACAATAATTTACAAATAACTGAAATAGGAAGGTTTTTCTGTGGTAAGGCAACCAGATGTAATTAATATATGCAACTTTTTTGCTGTTTCTGGAATGGAAAAAATTACCGTTCACACTAGAAATATACGAAATAGAATTTTAGGTTTGCTTAAATATATAAATTGAAAGGAGGAAAGCAAACAATAAAAGTTGGCAGCTCACCATAGCAGCCACCTCCTATGTAATTTTGAGACCATCATTTCCTCTACTACATTTGTCACCATAAGCTTACAAAGCAGCAGTGGATGGATCTGAAGATTCATTAGATTAATTAACTTGATTAAAGTCACCAAGCCGTCAAAAGTTCACGTGAGAAGTCAAGTTCGCCTCTAACACATTTTAAAGGCCAGACTAATTCCACAACAGCATGCCATTCGTCCTTCACAGATGTCTGCTATACAGAGAATCTTACGAATATGGTATATATAAAGGAAAGCAGAGTTGGAGGAAATAATAATGAAGAAATTTGTTGGTAATAAGAAGTTGGAAATTCATCCCAAAGTCTTGATTTAGCTTTCTTCAACGTCTGCCAACCAAGATGGGAAACTAGATAACAATGATTAAAACTAACCTAGACTCGGAGCAGCTTTTTATTCAGGCAAAGAAGTGACAGGTATATTTATTGCCTAACCAAAGAAGAATAGACTCATAATTGACCTTTGTTTAGAAAATAACTTCTCTTCCTTTCCATCAAATGACTTATTTTTGGATAACCATATACAAATACAGCTTTAAATTATGTTCCTTATCAAAACTTAAAGCAATTTATGTCTCTATAATACATTAATAATTTACAACACATTGGTACACTTTTGTATTGCTATTTTACTGTAAACAGCCTATTTCCAACTTAGGGTCTATTATTACATCTGAAAATAAGTGGAATGAGAGCATTCGAAGTTTGGATTAGTTAGCTCTGGGACTCTTAGGAACTGTGAAATGCCATCTTAAAAAGACTAATCCCATGTAGCACTGAATTACTCCAGTGACCTTGAAAACTTGCATGTTCTGTATTTCACATAATCTTATTCACAGCTCTTGCTTATATATAAAGTTGAGAGACTTATATAGCTAATATATCTGCCTTGTTTAAAATACATAACAATTTTCTTTATTTTCTGTTAAAGTTTCATCATAATAAATACATTGAAATAAAAGTCTTTGCTACTATAATTTCTAATATTTTTGTAAGTATTCTGATAGGTGAATAGCAATATCTATCTCCCTTATGCACGATTACCACTTAAACTTTGTTTCTTATTTTAAAAGATATTTTCTAATTTATAATATCTAGGTGTATGTTTAGATAAAAATTAAAAGAATATTTACTAATCAAAAAACTTTCCTCAAAAGTGTATTTATAAATAGAATTTGATTTTGAATAACCTCTTATGGATTTAGTATTTCAGAGTTTATCTTCAGAATACTATGCCATGGAATTAATAAGAATATAAATTAAATAATATCTAGATATACAGAATGCTACCTAATGCATTTACTCACTGGCCTTCGTAAGTTTACTTAAATGTGTCTGAAGTTCTAATATAAGTATTTTTCAAAAATAAATAAATGTGTCCCTTAAAGTGATTTTTTTTTTTTTTTTTTTTACAAAACTAGATGATCGGAATGTGTCAATGCTTTTATCTTTCATTTTATTAGATATATCCATATCTGTGTTTCTTAGGCTCTTTTACTCTCAGTTTTGGGGAAGTTCTCAATAAATCAGTCTCTCATATTAAATCGATAATGTTAATAAAACTAAGAATAAACATAAATTCTTTAGTCTTTCTCATGAAACTAGAAGAATTTTTCTAAGGTGTTCATGGATAAAAGCACTGACTATTTTGAAAATAAGACCAATATCGAATTAAGTGATTCATTCTACTATAATAACATTAAACTTAATCTCCCATTTGAATTCACCCAGACCAAAGGATTTTGTAATGAAAGACATTACAAAGTTAATGGTCAGCTGTCATTTTGGGGGCACATTTTCTAGTAGAGGGTTAACAGATAAGTAGAAAAATGAATATTTAATTTTTCTGACAGACCAAGGCAATTTAAATATTTTTTTCTGAATGTACAATATGGAAATGCACTCACATAAAACATAGTTTGAAGATTGCGAAGTTGGAACCAAGAGTCACCAATGCACTATTGAAGGATGGCGTCCTGAGAGGCATGGGACCGAGCAAAGTTTAGGAAAGAAAAAATTAATGAGATTATCTTTACAAGTAGAAGTTATACAACTGAACTAGGGGAAGTGATACCAATGTCATGGGAATGCTTTAATGTAGAGTCTCACCCCAAATATTGAGGAGCATCTGGCGGACCATCAGGCCTCTTTCTGGCTTATGACTTTAGTGGTAGAAAAGATAAGAAGCGCTTGGAATTCACATTTCAGTTCCCAGGTCAATAAGATAAAGACTCACATAAAATTCTCACTTCAGGAAGAGAACAGGTGCCACAGGGAAGCATCTTGGGATGTCAGAGTAGTCGCCATGAGGGCATAAGCAGATGGAATTAGCTCATTTCTTTTTTAGAAAAACTCCTAGAAATTTTTGTTCATAGTCAAATTTAAAATGCTTTGTTTGATATCTTTACGGTGTATCCAGTTTCCTGAATTTAAGAACAGAGAGTCTATCCAGAGCTTGAGAAGAGGGAGACAATGGGAAAGATGCTATCAAAGAGAGGAACAGAAATCAAGTAGGCGAGAGAATGATCCATGGAGTTCAGGCTAGAAATGGGAAGAGATGTCAACTGACAAGAACATGGTATACTTTTATTATCACAAACATATGGGAGCTTCTCATCTAAATTCATCTGTTCTAATCTTCAGAAGATGACAAGCACATCCTTTAGCCTAACTGTGTTCACCTGTCACTATATAGGTGGGAGGGCTCCCTGGGATTGCATGAATGGAATGGAGACTGGAAAAAGTCATTCCACTCAGGTCAAACAACTGAAAAAATGTTTTTTGCAAGGATTAACATTAAAAGTGTAGTTAGAATAATTCAGAATGCTAATAGAAATTAGAACAATGAAGATAATATTTTCCTAATTAATTAATTAACCCCTGCCAATCAGACTTCTTCACAAATACCATTAATTATGTAGCAGTGATGTCTGTCCAACCAAATCATTTCCAGTTTTTAATTGCTCCGAATGTTGGAGAAACTCTTAAACATACTGAGACAGAAGTTTCTTGGGGAGTCTTTTTTTTTTTTGGCTATAGTTATTGCTATAATGTTTTACAAACACAAAAATTGGGCTACTGTGTTAGATTATTGTATGTATTGGGGAGAATAGACTAGTTGTAGAAGAGGAATTACTGGTAACAGATTCATAAAATGCTCTTTCCTGGGAAGATAGGAGGAGAAGGAAATGCTCTCCCCTGGTCCTGATTCCTGATAAGTGGCTATCCCTCCAAAAAATGAAGACCTCTAGTTTCCATGCCTAATTTAATCATACAGAATCAAGATCAAGTAGTTCAGACTGTAGTCTGAATCCCACCAGCCCTTTGCTCACTGAGGATTTTTTTTTTTGAGATGGAGTCTCGCTCTGTTGCCCAGGCTGGAGTGCAGTGGCATGATCTCAGCTCAGGTTCCCAGGTTCACACCTCTGCCTCCCAGGTTCACGCCATTCTCCTGCCTCAGCCTCCTGAGTAGCTGGGACTACAGGCGCCCACCACCACGCTCAGTTAATTTTTTGTATTTTTAGTAGAGTCGGGGTTTCACTGTGTTAGCCAGGATGGTCTCGATCTCCTGACCTCGTGATCAGCCTGCCTCGACCTCCCGAAGTGCTGGGATTACAGGCATGAGCCACCGCACCCGGCCTGCTCACCAAGATTTCTAAGCATAACATGTAAAAATGCAAATGTGAGTTTTGACTGAAAACAAAGGTAGCCCATCTATAATTTAAAACAGCCCAATAGGCTAGAAATACATATTCCTGTATTGCTTCTGCACATAATGATAGGATCAGAAGGCAGAGCCAGTCGCCCCAGTATAGATCACTGGGGATTACTGGTATCAGTGGGGTGCAGCGTGGTCGAGTGTTGGCTTTTCTGTTGGTTAAACTTCCAGAGGGAGTAACAGATGAAGGATCTGCTGACCATTACACTTTGTGATATGTCAAGACCTCCTTTGTGAAAATGTATTTTCCCCCTCAGGTTGTTCTCTGTTTCTTCTCTCCCTTCTTCATCAGGACTTTATGTACTATCGTCTTCAGCTTGCACTTCCTTTTCATCTAGTTTGCGTATTGTGCCCTCTGTCCCAAGTGGGATAATCTTGACAGGAACTGTCAGTCACTGCTCAAGAGCCCTGCGGCTCCAAGGAGGGGCAGAAGGGTTTGGAGTTCATGGCTGTGTCCACCGTCCTTTTGTATCTGGACATGAAATTTTAAGACACACAAATGTATATTTGCAAGTGTACCTTTTTAAGTGAAGATACTTGACTGCTTACATCTATTTATATAACATGTATTCTATGTGTTTATAAATAGTGCTTTTTTTCCCTTGTTCTGCTGTGAATAATTGTTTCCTTTTCAGCTTCCAACATAGCTGCCTTTTGTGCTAATGACTGAAAAAGGCAAAATAAATATCCATATTTGTTTTATTTTTTGAGAGATGTATTTTCTAAATGTTTCTCACTGTCATGCAGTTAAAAGGCTTGTAGAATTACTTTACTCTATGGAAAGATATTTTTTAAGACTTTGCTTAAATTTTCTAAGATTGAAAATTCATAACAACATGTCAGACCCATTCTTCATGCTCCACTTTGCTTTATTTGGTTTAGAATTTCTAGGTCACTACAAAGCCAGTGGGAACTAGTTCTACACATTTTACTTGTGAGGCTACTGAGTTGAATTTTAACTATTTTTAAAAAGAGTAGAGGCATCAAATACACGTTACAAATGAACTAACTTCATGGCCAACTATTCATAACAGATTAATTTTAATTTTCAGCTAATATGCTGCCAACCTAGCGCTTTCACATGAGAAATGGTGCAGTACCTGATTTCACATGTCATGCTCTTCTTCAAGGGTCTAAGTGGTCATGTTTCTCCTTCCACCTGTGCATCCGCCTACCAAGAAGCCAGAAAAAAAGGGATTGCCATTTGGGCACTTCATTTTTTAAACTCCCCATCCTTTTGGATTACCTTTGCATATTTAAAAGCAGAAATATGTGCAAGACATTCAAAAACCTTTCCAAGGAAAATATGCAACAGCAAAACATGGTCAAAAAGCAACAGAATTTTCTGCACTATTTATATGTGGAAATGTGTGGTCTGGATGTCAAGTTGTAGGCACCACCGTCACTCTGCATGACCCCTTGGTCTTAGTGCTCTGGAACAAGGTATGGTGGTAAAATTCCCTGGCAATATAACTAATTTTAAAAATCAGTTTGAAGTGTGCATTCTTGGAAGAGTGAAAATCATTAGTAACAACCAGAATTAACAGACACCTCTTTCATATGTCATTTAAATGCCAGTATAGCATGAAAATAACTACTATTAAAATTATAATTAGAATGGCTATCCTGTGCTATGTTCTGTGCTAAATTTATATATAAATATACATACAAATTTATTCATACATATGAATTTAGTGTACATTGTAAATTTTTGAGGTTACACACACGTATACATATATACATTTAAATGTGCATATGTGCATAAACACATATAGATGTATGTGTATATGTATATGTATATATATACACACACACACATATATATATATTCTTTCTACTTTATTGAAGATAAAAACTGAATGAAAACAATATGACACTGGGCTCTTTAGAGATTTTGTTATCTCCATTAATGAATATGGAAATGGAGGCATGAAAGGATATGTGCTCATCTAAGCTCCCACATCTAGGCGGCTGCAGAGTCAGCACCCAGTGCCTGGTGGTCCATAGGCACAGCTGGTACTCCTCTCACACCCCACAGGCTTCATGAAAATTGTCCCCTCATACTTCCTAATGCGATCACTTGGATCAGCCCTCTTAGAAAACTATTAAAGCAAATGCATAAGACAACCTGGCTCAGAAACTAGAATGGCTGATCTAAAGAGATCATTCTAAGGACAAAATGGGTTTGGCATTGACTAAGTGCTGCACAAGTGACTGCCTTAGGCAGGGAGCCATGGCAGCAGGAGCTGACAAAGTGGACTGCATACACAGGCCAACTCCTAACTCCTGAGGGTTTTAAATTCCCAAAAAGCTGAGTAATTATTTCAGGTGAACTACAGATATAATTAGGGAGCAAAAAGTGCAGGCATAAAGAAGACTAATATCGTCCTAGAAAGAAATACATTCATTTGAAGAAGGATTTTGACAAAGATCTCAGATATACAACAGAAAAAGCTTATTCATGGAGTTATTTTAAGTTAAATTGCACAAAGCATAAGACTTGTGACATCAGAAAGATGAAACTCTTTCAGTTAGAAACCATGAAAAGTAAGTGGCCTGAAGACTTTGTGGATAAGAATATTTATTCAATAATAGTCATATCAAAAATAAGATAAAATAATTGCCCAGACCCATATCATAGAGCTGTTTTTCCTATGTTTTCTTCTAGAAGTTTCATAATTTTGAGTTTTATATTTTAATTTTTAATCCATTTTTAGTTAAGGTGTGAGATAAGAGGTTAATTTCATTCTTTTGCATGTGTATATCCAGCTTTACTAACATAATTTATTGAATAGAATATCTTTTTCTAATAGTGTGTTCTTGGTTCTTTTGTTGAAAATCAGCTGGCTGCCAATTTGTGGATTTATTTCTGAACTCTCCATCCTGTTCCATTGGTTTATGTGTCTGTTTTAATGCTGTTACCATGTTGTTTTGCTTTGGTTACTATAGCTTTGCAGTATATTTTAAAGTGAGGTAGTGTAATGCCTCCAACTTTATTTTTTATGTTCAAGATTGCTTTGGCTAATTGGTGTATTTTTGTGGTTCCAAGTGAATTTTAGAATTGTTTATTCTTTCTATTAAAAATGCCATTTAAATTTTGACAGAATATTATAAAATCTGTATATCACTTGAATAGTATAGAAATTTTAATTATATTAATTCTTCCAATCCATGAACATGAGATATATTCCCATTTATTTCACCTTCCTCAATTTATCTCTCTTTTTTTTTTTTAAAGACCGAGTCTGTCTCTGTAGCCTAGGCTGTAGTGCAATGGCATATTCTTAGCTCACTGCAACCTCCACCTCAAGGGTTCAAGTCATTCTCATGCTTCAGCATCTTAAGTAGCTGGGACTACAGGCGTGCACCACCACGCCCAGCTAACTTTTTATATTTTTAGTAGAGTTGGGGTTTTCCCGTGTTGGCCAGGCTGGTCTTGACCTCCTGGCTTCAAGTCATATGTCTACCTCAGTTTCACAAAATGCTGGGATGACAGGTGTGAGCCACCGCGTCCAACCCATTTTCCTCAATTTCTTTCATTGATGTTTTATAGTTTTCAGTATACAGTGTTTCATTTCATGGTTGAATTTATTTTAAAGTATTTTTTCATAGCTATTTTAAATGAAATAATTTTCTTTGTTTTTCAGAGAGTTTGTTGTTAACACATAGAAATGCTACTGACTTTTGTATCTTGAATTTCTATCCTACAACTTGACTGTACTTTGTACAGTTTTTTGGTGCAGTGGACTGTCTATATTTAAGATGATGTGCTCTTCAGACAGTTAAATTCAACTTTTTCCTTTCCAATTTGGATGCCTTTTATTTTCCTCTTGCCTAATTGCTCTAAGATTTCCAGAATGCGTTTAATAGAAATAGCAAGAGGAGACTTTCTTGCCTTGTTCCAGATCTTAGAAGGACAGCTTTCAACGTTTCCTATGTGCATATTAGGTTAGTCATCAGTTTGTCACATAGAACCTATATGCGTTCTTAAACTTGTTTCCAAACTGACCTACCTGCTTCCAGTATTATCCCTTCCTAGGTATTCCACAAAGTGGTAGCACATTTGTCTTTCTTATAAAAAGTTTGATTTTGCACTCACTTCTGCAAATTAAATTCATACACACACATATATACACACACACACAGGCACATATAGACACACATATTCACACAAACACACATAGACACACTAACACACACATACATACCACACACACACACACGCCTTATCTTGTCTTAGGTGACTTTTCATGGTCTGATACCTACCTTTCTCTTCAACTTCCTTTCTTGCCTTTTTTCTTCTTGCACTAATTCAATCCCACTCTTTGAACAGTATTTGCCTGAGATATATTTCCTTGTCCCCCATCAGTCTACATCTAATCAAATAAACTCTCTCATTTTTCAAGGGTCTTAATATAGGTTACCTCTTTAAACTCTTCTTTTACTCCAGATTTTGCATCCTCATGTTAGTCCTTTAAACACACTCCGTGAATAATTTTCTTATTATATTTGCTAAATTATACAGAGTTGTATCTGCGTAGGTTTCTATTTCTTTCAATAATATCTGAGTGCTAAAAAGGCAAAGATTACTTTATTCCTTGGTTTCTCAGATTAGCAAGGGATCTGACACACAGTAAACATTCAATATGTGCTAACTGAACAAATGGATACATGACAAAAATAAACAATAGCTGAAAACCACGACAATCCATTGAATGCTTACTCAGTGTGAATGTATGAGCTAGTCACTGCAGGCGTAAATACCAATGGGGAAGGTAATTGAAGCATTTATGTAAAGGTTTAAATACTTCAATTTTTTATTTATTTAAAATATGCTCCCAACTGAACATGACTTGGGTTAATTTGTACTCTATTATTAACTATGCTTTTTTCTTAGAATTGTCATCTAGGGTTTTCCAGATGTCATCGTATAAAAACCACAAAGACAAAAGCAATTTTATTACACGAGAAAATCCCTGCAAGCATCAAGTCTCAAGTTCATTATTTATTTACTTGTGGAAGATGTAATCTTTTCTCTAAAGAACTGCCAGCTTATTTAAGGATCTTAAATCCATTGCTTAAAATTAGCTTACAAACCAGCGATTGAGACCCGCAGGAATCAAATTTGGCTTAAGACAAACCTGGGTCTCGTCACATTAAAACAACAAATGAACAGGAAGAAACAGGCACACTCATCTTCCCATTCCAGGCAAGTGTTCCTGACCACCCTCAAGCACTGTTGCTAGACAGTTGTCTTAGTGACAACTATATATAATTGTAAGACCATTGTGGTTTGTAACAGAAATGGCATGTTTGTGAAAGATGAAATATTTTGGTATTTGAGATTTCCAAGAATTTAAAAGTCTTCTGAAATATATTGCAAAGTTGCTGATGTAGCATGGACAGAATCATTGGTGTATGGAGACACGCTGGCTTCAGAAACTGATGGTGTGATCTCGAGCAGTTATTTAAGCTTTCTGAGCTTTAATATCATAATCTGGAAGATCACGTCCTTCTCTTAAAGGCTATAATTGAAATGATATTACTCTTGTATTAAACACACACACACAAAACAAACAAACAAACAAACAAACAAAAAAACTAACCAGCCAGGCACGGTCACTTATCCCTATAATCCCAGCACTTTGGGAGACCAAGGAGGGTGGATCTCTTGAGCCCAGGAGTTGAAGACCCACCAGGGCAACATGGTGAAAGCCTGGCTCTACAAAAAATACACAAATTACCTGGGCATGGTGGTATGCACCTGTCCCAACTACTCAGGTGGCTGAGGTCGGGGAATTGCTTAAGCCCCCGAGGTCAAGGCTGCTGCAGTAAGCCATGATAGCACCATTGCACTCCAGCCCAGATGACAGAGTGGGACCCTTTCTCAAAACATAAAAATCAAAAGAAAAGAAAAGCTTGAAAATAATAAGTATTTGGAAGGTAGGAATTGAGATGATAAAATGTTCATTCAAATATTAAAGCTGTGTGTGTTCTTACTGTTATCATTAGAAATTAATTTTTTTTTTTGAGACGGAGTCTTGCTCTGTCCTGCAGGCTGGAGTGCAGTGGCGCAATCTCAGCTCACTGCAACTTCCGTTCCCAGGTTCACACCATTCTCCTGTCTCAGCCTCCCGAGTAGCTGGGACTACAGGTGCCTGCCTCCATGCCTGGCTAATTTTTTTTGTATTTTTAGTGGAGACGGGGTTTCACCGTGTTAGCCAGGATGGTGTTGATCTCCTGACCTCGTGATCCGCCCGCCTTGGCCTCCCAAAGTGCTAGGATTACGGGCGTGAGTCACCACGCCCGGCCAGAGATGAATTCTTAAACTCATCCACTCCTACACCCAAAATAAGATAATGAGATTAAATATCCTTCCCCAAAACAAAGCAATGAAGATTTCTGTATCTTTTGAGAACCGTTAAATGATTTATAATGCAGTATGGATTATAAAGAAACATGATGTCTAATTTGTGTCAAAAAGGAAATATGTACCTCTAAAAATATAAAGTGACATGTGAAGAGAAAATTCTTCCTGAATATTGTGAGTTTCTTCTCTCTGCTAATTTTAGAGGTGTTACCACACTCAAAACCTGCCTTCATTCAAGATGCAGTGATTGCCAGTGTTGGAATCAGATGGTGCAGATAGAAGTGTGATGAATGTGTACCAATAACATATTTTAAAATCATTTTTACTAAAAATACTCTTTGTAAGACTTAATTAACAACCACAGTTCCCAGTTTACACATGAGATATAAACAGAGAATATAGTTTGAAATCTTTATTGCAAGTTTGTATGGAAATTGGATGTTCTAATGAAGATGGTTGTACAAGGCAATATTCTAGTTGGACAGCTTGACAGCAAGGGAAGTAAACTAGGAGAGGAGTGGGTGGCAGATGTGATCCTGTATCATCCATGACCTTGTGCAAAACACTTAACAACTCCATCAATAAGTGGGCCTAGTCACCCTAGATTCAACATTCGTTCTGTCTTACATGGTTGGCTCTGAGAATGCACTGTAATCAGTACTGTAACTAGGTTGTTATACCTGGGCATTTGCAACCCAGGAACAATAGATAGGAAGAGAGCATTCAGCTAATTCTAAAGTCCTGCAGCACCAATGGCTTTATGACTCTGTAGTAAACCCACGTTAGTTTCATGTCATTCCCCAATAGCAGGGCTCTCTGCTCTGCCTGTTTTCCCATTCTCAAGGAGCCAAGCAGATTAAGAGCCACAGAATCACAAATACCTGCTTGGCGGTGGGAAATGCTCCTGCAGACCAAAAAAACCATTCTTGTTCTCACGGGGAAAGCATGTTTGAGGTCTTTTAAATTCTCCCCTTGGAAAAGTAAATTCTCCCTCACTTACCCTATAAAGTACTTCCATATGTTCAACCGGCTTTATTTCCTAGCACACATTCTGTGGTCTTCTCCATGGTAGGAACCACTTAACTTCGGGACTGGCACAGAATTGTACACAATGAATAGGGAAAAAGGAGGAAAGAAGAAATTTAAGAAGAAAATACTTTAGCTTTGATGCCCACATTGCCATTTGTTTTCCCCGAAATCCTGTCTTTCCCTTCTGCTTGTAATATTAGAAATATCCCAAAATAACATCTGTGTAAAAAGATCTATTAAAAACCCTTTGTATGTCAATTACCAGATTTAATTTTAAATAATATAACAATGCTACGCTGTATGCTATGCTGTAGGTATTGTAGGGAAGGTAAGTATTATCTTCTTTATAAGTAAAGAGACAAAAGCTCATAGAGTGTAACATTGGGTTACATATGCTGTGCTACTTGTATCTATTTAGCTTTCAAGGTTCTTTCTCATCTGATCTCCATCAGGATGTTTGAACCGAAGTCCCAGATCACAATACTTTGTTGAATATCTGAACAAACAATTTTAAAAAGAAAATTTAATTCTGTTCCAAATATTGCTTCTTAGCTTTAATTATGCTTTGTATATATACCTTTTCTCCATCTAGATGACAAATCCCTAGGTTATGCCATATTTCCAAACAGCTAACAAAATCTGATAAGAAAGAGGTACTGAATAAATAGCCATTCTTTGATTGTTAAAACAGAGGGCAAAACGCGATAGAGAACTACGAGGGAAAGGTATATAATTTAAATCTATGCTGATTCAAATGCTTAACAGGGACATGGAAACCAGCATGTTTTAAAGTTCAGTGAGGATTTGCTGCCTTACTTATCTCTACCTTGGGCATACATCAATATCCATACACATATGCAAAGAATTAAAGTATGTTTATTCTCTGCCTTATGCTATAGGTTGAGTGTCTAATCCACAAATCTGAAATTCAAAATGCTCCACAGTCCAAAAATTTTTGAGTGCCGACATGACAACACAAGTGGAAAATTCCACATCTGACCGCATGTGACAAGTCTTGACAGTCAAAATGCAGTCAAAACTTTGTTTCATGAAAAAAATTATTAAACATATTATTTAGAATTACCTTCAGGCTATGTGTTTAAGGTGTATCTGAAACATAAATAAATTTTGTGTTTAAACTTGAGTCCCACCTCCAAGATATTTCATTACATATATCCAAACATTCCAAACATTCAAATAAATATCCAAAACAGTTCTGCTCCTAAGCTTTTCAGATAAGAGATACTCAACCTGTATTATAGTTGTGTCCAGTGATTTTCTCTTTAACTGTGTCTTCTATTTGGCTATCAGCATGTTCTTTCTGTAATTATTTCTGCAATTCTCCCTTGTTTCAATATTCTCAATGTTACCGAGTGGGTAAAGGATATTTTAAATCCTTTCTCATCCACAGAACTTGTCATTCTCAAAATATTTAATCCATTTCTATTCTTCTCTGCCTTCTTCCTGTGCCCAAGATACTTTTCATTATTTGGGAAACTTTTTCTATCCTTAAAGGTCAAACTCAAGTGTCCCTTTTTTTCGAAAGATTTCTCTGGGCGAATTTTATCATTTTTCTCCTGTAATATAGAACTTGGTATAGGCCTTTATCATTCATCTTTTTTCTTTGGAAAGATTAATATTGTGTTTGAAATATCATCTGTGCTCAATAGCTATATGTAACTATATAAAAGTGAATAAATTATCTGATTAATTAAGCAGTTTTCCCTTATTCGTGTCTCATTTTTATATCCCACAGAATGATAATTTCTTCAGAATATACTGAGTCCCTTTTAAGTGATAACTTTTAAGTAACTACATTACTAGGATGATGAGGTTAGTGTAGTAAAACAAGGTTAGTGTAGTATAGTGAATTGTTTCTTACCCATGCTACAAAGAATTGGATTTTGCAAGGTCAAGCAATGTTGAAGATTACACACTATATGTCCTATATGTCTCTTCAGATGTGTCCATTAGTACATAAAAGGCTAAATAAGGCTCACAGTAGTGACTATGTTTCATTTCTTTTCACTTTTTTTTTTTTTTTGATACAGGGACTCCCTCTTTCACCCAGGATGGAGTACAGTTTAGATTCCTGTACTACACTGTAGATTCAACATCCTGATCTCAAGCAATCCTCCCACCTGGGCCTCCCCAGTAGCTGAAACTACAGGCACACACCACAATGCCCAGCTAATTTTATGATTATTGTGTAGATACAGGGTCTTGCTATATTGCCCAGGCTGGTCTCAAACTCCTGGACTTAAGCAACCCTCACATCTCTGCTTTCTAAAGTACTGGGATTACAGGCATGCACCATTGTGCCTGGTCTCATTACTTTCTACATCTGTTTAAATATGTTAAAATTGTTTCATATTACCCACATTAATGTGTAAAAGACACACCAAAAATTTTCTTTATTAATGTAAAGCAAAGACCATTAAGTTGCCTTTAAGGTTTTAGTTAAGAAGGAAAATTAGAGTTATAGATTCTAAGCCCTTATGTGAGCCAGCATTGGCTTAGGTACAGCTCATGTCATAAAGCAACCAACAACTCTATGAGGGACTCAAGACTGACCATTATAAAGAACACGTGACCTAAAGGGAGGAAGAGAAACTCAGGAATTACTCAAAGTCACCACATTTTAATTGGGGAGACTGGAATTGGTTGCTATTGTTTTACATTCTGTTCCAGTTGATAGAGAGGTTGCTATTGTTTATTTTCATGTTGCATCTCATATTTTAAAAGTTTCCAATGTGTCTTTGCATTTTAAAGTAATTTATTTGCATTTGGTACGTTTTTTCTTTTTTTCGGAAACAATCCAAATTAAGAGCCATTCTGGCTTTTTTTATTTTCCAGAAGGGCAAAGCTACATTAGGTACAAAAACATGATTTTTAAATCATTACTTACAGAAGAAAAAGTGACAACCAAGCATTTTATAAAGCTTCAGGATAATATGCTTAAGATATTAAAAACAACGGCAAAAGCATTTCAAACTTTGATGAGATTAAAACAAATTATAAATTCAGCATCTAAACAACATGCCTATTGGGGATTACCTAGAGTGGCAATAATTTTTATGTATAATAATAATTTTAATAAAACATACTGGGGAAGGCAAAGTTTTCAAACTTGAACATTAATGGTGGAGATAATGTGAAAGCTTTGATTGTATTTGTATTTTTCTTTGAAAGTCTCTGCACTAAAATCACATTTGAAAGTAATATGTAAAAATAAATAACAGGTTTAAAATAATACAAAATAATATGTGACAAGAATAAAATTCCAGTCAAAAGCCTTACTGGGTTTACTTTATTTTTGGGAAAGTAAATTTTATCTTCTGGGTTTTAGTCTTCTTGTGGCCAAATATTCTCCGGCTGTGTCAGTCAAAGCGCAGCCTTCACCTGCCAACCTGCTGGACCATGCTGTACTCACAGGTGAGATGCAGCAGCTCTAGAGAAGCCACTTGAGAGAAAGAAAAAAAGCCAGAGGGTGGCGAAGGGCTTCATTCCTATTGATCTCTAGCCCCTAACAGTGCAGTTGGCAAATAAATTTGGAAAAAATAAATTTTAGGGGTCAGCAGTCCTCTGAAGCACAGAATGGAGCAGAATGGAGAAAGGAAAGGCAAAAAATAGATCTGCGAGCTAACTTGGAAATGAGCAGCATACTTCCCTATCATTATAAAATTACTGTTCTGATCAATACATGCTCGTGATAGTAATAATCTGCATGTACCAATGACTTTACAAAGCATAATAGCATTTTCATTAATTTGTCCTGACAAATAGGTGAGGTCATTGTCATTAACAAGCAAACATGCTCGGGGAGGGGATTTGATTTATCTAAGATCACGCAGAGGCACAGTGTAGGATCTTAATCCAGACCAATCTCTCCTCTCTCTGCTTGTGCTTCTCTTTCACACACACATCTCCATCTATTAGAGATCAATATCTCTATTCTCTCTGTCTCTCTCTCTGTTCCTCTCTCTCTCCCTTTCACACATACACACAAACATCTCTATCTCCATCTCTCTCTCTCTTTATCATCTCTCTCCAGTAGTAATGCTTTATGCCATATCGTTTACTAATGGCCAAGAAAGATATGAAAAAATACTTAACATCAGTAATCATGAGAAAAAATGCAAATTAAAACCACAATGAGATATCTTATACCAGTCAGGCTGGCCATTATTAAAAAGTCAAAAAGTAATACATGTTGATGAGGATGCAGAGAAAAGAGAATGTTTATACACCGTAAACATTGGGAATGTAAATTAGTACAACCTCTATGGAAAAGAGTGTGAATATTTCTCAAAGAACTAAAAATTGAACTACCATTTGATTCAGCGATCCCATCACTGAGCATCTATCCAAAGGAAAAGAAATCATTATATCAAGAAGATAACTGCAGCCAGGTGAGGGGACTCACGTTCGTAATCCCAGCACTTTAGGAGGCCAAGGCAGGTGGATCACGAGGTCAGGAGTAGGAGACCAACCTGACCAACATGGTGAAACCCAATGTCTACTAAAAATAAAAAAATTAGCCAGGCGTGGTGGTGCGTGCCTGTAATCCCATCTACTCAGAAGGCTGAGGTAGGAAAATCACTTGAACCCTGGAGGCGGAGGTTGCAGTGAGCTGAGATGGCACCACTGCTCTCCAGCCTGGGTGACAGAGTGAGACTCCGTCTCAAGAAAAAAACAAATAAATAAAATAACTGCACTTGCATGTTTATCACAGCATAATCCACAATAACAAAGATGGGGAATCAATCTAAATGTCCATCAATAGATGATTGTATAAAGAAAACAATATACATGTATATATGTGTACAATGGAATACTGTTCAGCCATAAAAAAGAAGAAAAACACAATATTTTGCTGCAACATCTATGGAAATGGAGGCCTTTATCTTAAGTGTAACAACTCAAAAACAGAACGTCAAATAAGATGTTTTCTTGCACTTGTAAGTAGGAGATAAATAATGTGTACACATAGACATAGAGACTGGAATAATAGACACTGGAGACTCAGAAGGGTGGAAGAGTGGGAGGGGATGCAAAATTA